ATTATTTTGTTAATAAAATTGGGATTTATTTTGTGAATCTGTTCAAAAAAATACTTGAAAACCATTGTTGACCTGTATTACATTTGAAACAATCAAGAAAGGCTAAAGGAGGAATTCAAATGGGCAAGTATGAAAATTTACTTTTTAATTTCAGGCAAAATAAATTTACACTTGACTTTTACTAGATATTGAAGAAAAAGCTGCCGTCCCTTTCGGCTTTTATTGAGCATAAATTTTCTTTTTTATATTTCGAGGTTTGTAATTTCCACAAAAATTTTATGTTTTAATTTGTTTAAAGCACGTGACTTTAATACGTTCTTGAAGGTTAATGACTGGTATGAATAAAACGTTTTCTAGTGTTCAGTTGCTTAGGAACTATTTTTAGTGCAGAAATACAGACAGCTATTTGAAAACTTGAACATCTTCAAGTTCCTTTCTCTCTTAAAGGTATTTTGCAAATGTGCACGTCTTTATTAGATTTGATTTGAATAACTAGTTTATTAACATGCATATATCAAAAGGTAACTAAAGCAAGCAAATTACAACACTTTACTTCCTTCGTGTTAGATATAAATTTACCCTGCTGCATAGATTAGTACAACTTTAGGTAATGACGGCAGTATAAGGCGGGTAAACCAAATCTAGTGGCAATTATTATTTCAATCATTTTCCCCATTGTGCCTATTCGGCGCTATTTTCGCAACTTGGATTTTTCCATCACGTGATTTTCTAATGAAATAAGGTTTAATGGGCCTCTAAATAAAGTAAAGCGGTAGCAAAAGAATCATTTTTGTGTTAACGATATGTATATGGTTAACCTTTATTCGCTACCTTCCTGTTTATTAAGAACAGACAGTTAACGTTAAACCTGCCGTTAAGTTCATAAAGGTCACATTCGAGGTTCCGGCGATTGTAATTTTATATTTTTTGCTTCTAAGGCAGTCTTTTGCTTGGCGCGCGATATTTGGCATGGAACGCAACGTCTTTTAAATTGATAAAGCACCATTCCGTTTAATTACAAAAAAACACACAGGAAAAAAGAGGTACCTGAAAAAATATTGTTATGGGCTCTATTATTATATGTTGTCACAGTTCATCACGCCATGTTGCATGTCTGGATATTTCCATAAAAAATGATGTCTTAAACCGGGAATATACCATGGGACAATGTGTTGCCAGCGACCGAACTGTTCCATTTTCACGTTTCTGCTGCGTTAAATTTGTCATTTGTTTAAGTAATTTGGAATACTCATGCGAATATGTCTTCTTGTTGCTTGAAAAACATTTTCAATTGCCCCAAACTCACGATAAATAATTCTTGTTCTAGAGTCGTTGAAGGTTATCTAAATTGCAGATATTTGTTTATATTTTATCTGCTAAACGATTAATGAGCGTTGATTGCCTCCGACATATTTCCTATTAAAAATACACTCTCAATTGCACAAGCTTTTAGTGCTATAAGATAAACTGAATTGGGTGCAATTTGAAATCTACTTTCTGTGACTGATGGAAAGTCTGAATGAGTAATTACTTTGCAAGTATATGGAAACATTTTAATGGAATGGAAAGCTTTTCAAAACAAATCAATGGCTTTTATTTTGTACGTTTATGCCATTTTAGCTCATCGAAATTTGTTGCTTTAGTCGGGGCTTGTTGGAGTTTGCCAACGGAAAGTTGATTTTATTTTACCGAAATAATGTGTACTCATAAAGGAATTTTGAAACTAACAACTTTGTCACGTGCAAATATGTTGAAAGATGGAAATGCCATCAAATGATTTAAAGTTGAAAATTGAAAAAAACACTGTAATGAAAAGACTTTCCAAAATGCTGTATCTTGCCAAGTGGTAATGAAATTGATTCGTTTCTATAGTTAACATGTACATGAGAGTAGGCGCCAATGCATTTATATTCACTCTTCCACTAAGGTCGGTCTTTGGTGTGAAACATTCCATGTATTAGTAAACAGTTTCAAACCCTAAAACCGCACTTTGCGGAAAATTTCTGCTACTAAACTGGCAAAGTATGTTCATGGGGGCTTGCATATTTATAAATGTGACAGGCGTTCTTTATGCGCCCGTATTTGTTTTAACTGCTCATTTCCTGCGAATACTGTTAATGACACACCTGTACACTATCACATACGCATCGGCACGCCCAAACCCTACAGTCTATGGATGTTCGTGTTTTGTTTGCAGGATAGACAAAGAGAGCCGTTTTGCGCAAATATCTGCACAGTATGAACTGATGGCATTCTATTTGTTCCATAGAGAAACGCCTGGTAACCTTAACTAGCGAAAACCTTCCTCCACCCAAATCTCGAGGCGTTCTGTGGTTCTTCCAACATAGTAATACTTATGCATCTTCAATTCGTTACCCAACAATGTATCTATCCATTGACACAAAGCTAAATGGATGTTTTCACTGAAATTATTTATTCCGCAATGCAGAAATCCCATTTCAGCGATTCATGCGTTTTACATATTCATAAAAAGCTTGTATTTGAGGAAAATTATAGCCAATTGAGTTCCGGAATATCTCGTAGAGTATAACATACAATTCTACTTCTCTTCTTTTAAATTGAATTTAGGTATCCAAAAGGCACACTTCTTAGAATAATCTCGAGGAAGCTCGCTTTTGAAAATGCATTCTTTACGTCTCTTTTATCAGCACAAGAAAATTTCATGGCGGTAGCCCAATTTGTGACTGCAAGGCATCGTTATCTAATGTATTATTAGAATTGGCAATAAAACTGGATGGTTCAAAATGCATTGCGTTCAGCATGAAAAGTGGCAACAAGAGAAATTTCGTATCCCACTCGTAATGTCAAAGACTTTTATCTTTTTAAATTTGCATTTAAATGCACCAATTTATTTGTTTCTAATTTGAGACTTTACGCTTCAATCTGCTGCCCAATTTGTACTTGCAAAATACAATGACTGTGCCATTGTATCTGCTTTAGTAGTTCCTTCTAAATGCACATGAAAACTCATTGTTCCAGCGTTCTAAGACGTTTTATGTGTTTGTTTTATGGGCATGTGCCCACTATTTTCATCAAAATACTGAATTCGGGAATGATTTGCTAGGGATATATTCACAATCGTTGACATAATTTTATTTTTTATTAGGAAAGAATGAGATAATTTGCGCCAAACGGCCAAAATTGTTTTTCGGAGTTTAATTAACTACAGCTAGGGCGACGCAAATATTAAGCTTTGCAGTTATCATCACATACCAAAATTGTGAAAGTTCTATGTCGAAGATGTAAGCAGGTACTTATCACCCACCTATTCAAATTTAAATATCGTTGTCACTGCGATATGCCTCACTTACTTAGTCTACTTTGCATTACCAACTCCGAGTTAACAATTAACGATGGAATATTATTGTGCTGCCGCAAAACTTAAGAGATATTCGGGATAGCGCTGAGATGCCAGGTTTCTAATATTTACAATTCACGGTATATTACAGTTTTAAATCAAAAACCATTAGAGTGGGAAATTAGAAAAGGGAAAATCCCAACCCTAGCGGACCTGCATTAAGTAAAGGAAATTGCAATTTCTACTTCTTGGCTTTCATATTTTTGGTTCATTGTTTTCAGTTTAGACGCTTTTCTCACCATTTCAAATGTGTTAAATAGGAAAATGAAGCAAAACTTCCGGCACGTGACATTTTATTTGCATATCCTAATAATAACGAAAAGTTTTTCTGTGCAATTTCATACATGACTTTGTACTATTCCATCAGAAACATTTTCTGCGTCACTTCCAAAAATGTGGTAATCCGAAATCTTGCCTATTTTTGTCGTCTTCTGAAAAGAACTTTAAGCGTTTTGAGGGACAGATCAATATGTCTTTGTTGCTTCGTATCAATACTTCAAACGCGTTTGTCCTATTTTTGTAATGCGTCTTTGAAGAATCAAATTTTAAAGGAGTTTAAAGAATAAAAAGAATGCAAATATATTGGAATTCCTTGTCGACGACTTGGTATCATATTGCTCTTTTGCACTATGTCAAGAATTCAATAATCAAAAGAAACAAAGCATTTGTCTGTCGGGGCCTGACAACGAAAGCCTTTAAGTTAGAGTTAAATCATTTATTCAGGTTTGCCTTCGCTTTGAAAAGATTTTGCAACAAGCTTGCTCGCATAGAACAAATAACTCTCTTTGAAATACTAAATTTGATAAACGTAGTTTTAGGATAATGTAGATTGAGCAAACTGGATTATTTGAATTATGCGGTTTACAGCCGTGTTGTCGAGCAGCGAAAATAAATTATTCGGCAATTTTTAGTTTCGTGCAAATGTAAATAAATCACCTCACAAATACACTGGACTTATATATGTCGATTCGTCCACCAGTGATCTAACTTTCAGGGTGTGCATTTAGTTCAAAATAATCCCAAATCTTTTGTGAAAAATATCAGCGAAACTTTTGGTTTGCTCGTAGTGTTTTGCAAAAAAATATTAATTTGTCTACGCTGATCGCGCCCATGACACGTTGAGGCGGAACACCTCTAGAACGCCTTGGAAAATCAGGCAAACTGAGCAATCCAATATATTTCGGGGCAATCCTCTATAAAAAGAACTAATATCCGTTTACCCCGGAAATATTCGAATAAATCTGGAATTGCCATTGGCAAAATAATTCAGTAGCGTTACAAAAAATAAATTTATGAATATTCATTCAGTAATACGCTACAGTTCTCTACAACTAAATCCATCCACTTAATTGCAAGGCAATCCAATCCAGAAAACTGTCGCCATCAACCTAATAATTTTTAAAGGATATGCCTAAATATAAACCAAACTGTGAGTTGACGATATAACCCAATAGACTGGTAGTAAAACCTTGACGACTGGTATAAAATTGCAAGTGCATAAACTGGGGATGCATTAAAATGATGACGACTTCGCAGGGAAAATGTTTAAGTCTCATTTAGATATATTGCATTTCAATTGCGCTGCAACTAACGAACAATAAATATGATCAATTTTTTGCAGGATCTCAAGACCGGATGGGTGTCCAGTTCTTCGGTGACAACCTCAGGAAATCCACCTACACTTTTGGCAGTACCTTCAATAATAACGCAGCAACCTGTTAATACCAGCGTTGCTCCAAATCTTCAAGCGGCAGTAACTGCTGTTCCTGTTCAGCTAAAAACTACACCCGCCATTGTTGCACCTATTATGACCAACCCTCCAAAACCTGATACTTCAAGTAAGTGGATTTTCTTCTATTTAGTTAACCATCCTCAGCATGAGCTCTGACTAGCTAAGAACCTGCTGCTATTTTATCCAGTTGGACAGTGATAGAATACCAACTGGGGAAATGGGCTGGAAAATGTTGCTGCTTGAATTGGAACTTTCCTACAGTATAAAGAACCAAATGCGACGTTCACAAAATCGCTGTGCCTTCTGATAATCTATGCATACACTGTGTATAAAGAAAACGTGTGTCATATCGCAATGGATTATGTACATAATTAATTTGTGTTTTTAATAACATACAACCCTTGCAATTAATTTTATATTGTAATTTATTTCCAACATTAAGATTGCGATTTGTAAATGCGTTCGGTTTAATGCAAATTTTACTTTGATATTCACACTCTGCGGTAAGATTATGGCTTTATGTAAATTTGCACTTTTGAAGCTATGGGAATTAATTTGCTTCTATACTCTTTTGCGACGTAACGCGTAAACGCATCATTCTGGTATAACATAGAGAGAATTTTCATACTATATTTAGTTTGTGATAATCGTGAAAAGCACGAGTTTTATGATATGCTTCAGTTACGTACTCTGGTGTATGCATCGATTTACTTTACATGCACTTACTAGTGTGTTTAATCGGCTACTAAATTTTCCACTTATGTATCAACCTGGTAAATTTGCTGGGTTTCGCGTTGTTCATTTTGTATCAGGGGGATTTACAATGCCACTGCACATAACGATTTTGTTTTCATTAAACTTCGAGCAAAGCTTAATACAAACAATATTTTGCTCAACAGCGGTCAGTACCTATATGTTATTTGAAACATTTTAAGTACCAGCCTGGCAAATATTATTCCCGATGAAACACCGATCCCTGATGGCCACTTCTTGTTGGGAACGAGACTGCGACATATTTAATTTACCTGCTTGATTTGTTATGCGTGCTGTGAGAGTTCACTTTTTCTGGAATTTAAAACGCCACCTATTGCGTGTCTTTATGTTTCATGCTAATACCACTTGTAATTTATACGGCGCAACACAATTTATATTTTTAACTCATGAATCTAACTAGTTGGCTACTTAATTAGTAAAGAGGTGAACTATTGTTCAAATGTTTCACAATTAAAAATTCTGGATATGAACATTGTTACTTGACCGCTTAATTAGCTTTATCAAATGCAAATAGAAAATACCCAAATTTTGCAATGTACTATAATCATTTTCATGTTATATTTTGCAAGACTTCATATTTCGATGAGGTCCCAATATATGTTTTTACACGAAAATTATATATTAGACTTTCAACCTGCAGTTACTTAGTTTATACGAGTAGTACATTTATAAGACATTTCAAATGCAACGCAACGCAGAACTTGGGTCATCATGTATAACTCTAGGAGATATAGATAAGTACACGAAAGCTCTTTATGGAAAATATATTATTGAAACACCCTTTTACATGTTTTTCTAATATGCGTGTTGGCCTAACTCTTATTTGCATATTTACCTACTTATAACCCGGTACGCATATTTCCATCGTGTGTCATTGGCTTTAAAAGAAATGTTTCGTTCTTATTAATTATAGACACAAATTATAATTTTGCAGTCTCCCAACTATACTATGTGGAATATTTTATTCCGTAAGGGCCGTTATTTATATGGGCATGAAAAGTTCCAGGCGAATAATGTAAAAGGGGTCAAAGATTATAGTCGTGGATATATTTATGTGACGTTCCATTTAAAAAGCGATTAAATACTTTGCATAATGATTGGAAAGTTAATTACAAGATAAGAAAATATGCCATGATAATCGACACAGAACACTAAAAATCCATTATTATTATTATGCATTGTAATTAGAAAAATTGAGTTGATGTTGACCACTGGATTTTAGAAACTATCGCAATTTCTAGCAACAAAAACGACCTCAATCACTTTATTGGCTAATCATATTTCGGCTGGAACAAGACAACCAAATGTGGAATAAATATGTGGCTTTTTGAGGCAGTAATTAACTTGATGGTTATTCAAATAGTGCCCGAGTTTGATAACATGAAAATATTACGAGTATATTTAACTTTACATGAGTAGTAAGGGGAACATCAAAGGATTTAACTCTAACTGGAACTCCAAAAAGAGCAGCGTCGGTATTATCTAAGATATTCATTCGTGTTTCCTTTCAACAGGGATGGACTACGGTTCAGTCGCTATTTATATAAAGAAAAATAAAACGCCAGCGCCGATAAATCAGTTTCATAGAAGCATAGCCAAACATCTAAATTACATTAAATCCTTATGTAACGGATTATCATGAAGAGAAAGCGAGTATAAATAAGCAGAAGTAGCTATTTTGCAGTAAATTTCAAAAAGGCCTTAGCTAAGCAGCTTAGAAACTTCCCTAATTAAATCACCTAAATATAATTAAAAGGGACATTTTCCTGGGCCCATTGGGACTGGTTTTAGGGCACCCTGTACAGTGCGTACTCGAGTCAGGGGAGTTAATGATGATCCAGTAAAATATGCTCATTTGCTTTATTTAAAAAAGGATCCACATACACTGGAAAGCCTTTCCTGACGTTTCGAGTAAACTATGGTTGCATCCATTATCATACCACAATGATGCTGCTTGAAGACTTATTGATGTTCTGTGGACCGCTTTCATGAATTGTAATAGTCAATTTTTCGACAATATTCTGCATTTCTCTAAAATTAAAATACGCCGCATAGCATACAAAACTTTGTAAATTCTTGCACACTGAAATTGTTTGTTGGCTTTTTTGCTGCATTCATATTTATTGCACATATTTTCCAGTAACATGGTTGAAAATTAAATTCCACTGTTGGTGAAGTTTCGATTTTGTTTTTGTGCTAATCGTGTTTAAATAAATATATTTATACGTGCAAGTTAATAATAGTAAAGATTTGAATGATAAAATTCCTGTTAAATTGTCAGATCTGTGGTGATATGCCAGCCCTGCGTCTCACGTGAGTCTAAGTTCTGTGCGTGCGGTGTGTTAATTTAGAAATTTGATGCAAAGCGGGAATAAAAAAATACTAAGCAGCCAAAATTCATGCGTTAGTGATGTTTTCTGCGTGTATAATTAGATTATTAAAATCTTGGCCGACTTTCACCCTGAAATCATAATTTCTCGTTATAAAACCTGAAACATTTTTAAGTAAAAGCATTAGTTAATTTGTGCTTAGGATGAAACAAAGGGGAACATGCAACCATAGTAGCAGGTTTATTATCGAGCGAGACAGGGTAAATATATGGAAGATAATGTGAATTAATATTACCAACAGAGTTGTCTGCAGATAAAGTGCCATGCTGCTAATTGTGTGATGATAGGAGCTTAATTTAATTAAATGGCGTTTTTTACTCTACAAAACTTGCTTAATGGCTCGTTACATATACAGCTTTGAATAATTTCAAGTAGTTTCAGCCCACATTCTGAAACTGTTAAAATCATGTTTTGTTTTACAATAATAAGAGGCCCATAAAATTCTCCTCAACATTTTGTATACATTGCCGGTTATATTAAAATATTTATGGGGCAAATATTGACGATGGAGTTCAGTTTGTTTACGCCCCTAGTTACAAAAACATTATGTGATATGAAACATTTTATTTTCTGGACTGAAAAATGGGAAAGTTTTCCCATGGGGCACGAACATTTTAGAGCAACCGATATTTCGCGTACTTCAGCGAAATTGATATTATTAATACGATATGCAAGACATCCTGTACGGCGATAGGCCAAAAGCCCAAAAGTAGAGTCTGAAATGTTCGTTTCCAGACAGGGTGCTTCGTTTACATCTATTTACAAATTTCGGTATTGTGCTTTCTAAAAAAAGTTAGAAACTCCAATATAGATTTCTCTTTGTTCAGAGCTCATGAGGCAAGGCGAAATTGAAAAATAGTTAAGAACAAACGCTTTGTAATGGCGCTCCCCTTTTTTCTTTTAGAGCCTCATTAAACCGAAAATATGCGTGTGCATCTGCAGTGTTACATGTTGTGCGTGCTACCGAGAATCTCCGGGGAGTTTTATCCAATATCTAGCCAGGGCCCAACCTTGCAAGTCGCTTTCAAAAAAAGGTTATAAATATTTAACATAACCGTGCAAATTAGTTTGAACAACAAATTGGCTCACGCCCTTTTATGTGTATCTGCATTATTAATAGCTACGCAAGATACGGCTCAGCTTACAAAAGACTTTAAATTTTAAAGGGTACATCACAATGCAGCACTACATTGTGCAGACATTTTCATTGAAGGGAATTGAAACAAAGTTGGCTTTTATTGACCTGGTTTCGGCTGTAAAGGGACCATGATAGAGAAATGCTTCTTCTGTATTATATACGCGCTCGTAAAACAAACACAAAACAATGTAGCCGAAGATTTCACCCATATTTTAGTCAAATATCGGAACTCGCATTATATTTGCCTCACTATCTGGTGCCATTTTAAAATTTACTTATTAGATTTGTGGGCAATGCCAACAACATGCCACCATTTCCATATAAAATGATAAGGATTTACTTCGGGAAAATCCCAATGTTCTCTCCGCATTTGATTGTATGTTGTATTGAATTTCAATATCCAAACTTTCCATGCCATGGTTTACTAATTATTAATATCATTTTTAAATAGTTATTAAATTGGAATAAATCAAAATCGGGCAGTTCAACCGATATTCAGAAGTGTTTTAATGTTCAAACCATATATGTAGTTGCCAATTATCGTGGAATTGGAATACATGCTAATTTAAGTCAGCATTTAATTAACGGTTATAATATCAGTCAAACAGGTCCGTTACGCATGTGTTTGACGAGATTCGATATTGTCTAATATTTATCTGCTAAATATATTAGTCCTATGTGCTAAAGCCTGCAAAACACATCCACAATCTTATTACTAACAATTAAATCAATTAGCGGATAGCACATTAATTTCTATTTTTTCCGTAATCGTTGTCGTATTTATAAAAATAATCTTATTAGCAT